CATGGTTTTCCTAACATTAAATCAGGCCCAGGCCAATCTGGTCCAACAACCAAGAATTCAACGGGATCGGTACTTTTGTGCTGTTTGTATAGGAAATATATTATAGAACATAACAAAAACCAAGAAAAAGTCATTGAAGAAATTGTTAACAATTACTATTTATTTAAAAATAAGACAATCATCTATCTCTAAAATAACAATCTTGTCGCATATTGCACATTAACGTCACACCAAATTGATTTTATTTTTTTTTATTGTATTAATCAACGTTCTTTGTGGATGGATTTTTTTTCCTAAAAATATCAAAGTAAAAAAGATCGAAAAAGAATGTTGATTACTTGATAAGTGGATCATGCAACTTATTAAATAAAAATGATTTGACAAGTAGAATCACTAATAAATCAAATGAATTACTTGAACAATGGAAAATTGTTCTAAAAACAAAAAGAAAAGAAAATTTTGTTTCTTTTTATAAATCAATAAATGAAATGGGATATTTCTCAGATTGAAGCACAAGAAAATGATAAATTAATTAACAAATTAACAAATGAATTTAATAAAAGTTGTTTGACTGACAAAATCGCTAGATTATCAAATGGATTATTAATCATAATGATTTTGAAAAAAGTGGCGATTCATTTCAAAAAACAAATACTTACTTTTATCTTTTTTTCTCATTCTAAAACATATGAATAATCCTCGACATCTGCATTTGCCGTGTGCGCCGAAATCTTACCTATTCTTATGAGTTGATGACAAATATCGGGAACCCCGGCTTGTTGTTTTGCCCTTTAAGAAAGAATAATGGAATAAGTTGATGCCAAAGAATTTGAAATGTATAATTATTTCATACCAAGGTAAGTTTGTCTTCACGTTTTTGGCCCAATTACCGATTGCTTCACCTTTCTGAAAAATAAATAATGTATTCATATTCATATAATTTATCGCTCCATTTGTGACTAGATTTGCGATTATAGTTGCTTGTGTCTGCCCCGTGACACCATTACGACAATTTGGTACCATTGTATCATTGAATCCCGCGTTATTCCAGATAAATATGAGTGCCGGCATTTCGTCGTTTTCTTTATCTTTTAGATATTTTAAAATGAGATTGACAACGTCTGGATTCGTAGCGATATCTTCAGGAACTAATAAGAAAATATATATCGATTAATAATTCATAAACGTCAACGTCAGAGAAATAATTTAATTGCTACTACTACCTTTTCCATTGAAACTTTTTTCAAGTTCTTGAAGTTTTTTTTCTTGAACTATATATTATCAATATAATATTATCAATATACGGATATAAAAAAAGGTCATAAAACTTTGTTGAGAAAAAAAACAGACGAATACCTTTATTACGAATAAATTTTAACATTATAGAATCTGGTGAGAAAAAAAAAATATTAAAAATATTGTATATTAATATTGATATCGTGTACCACGGAAGGTCATAGAAATTATGATAAATCAATGATCAAACAAGTAGTTTATTTTATTATCATTCGTAACATTAATTTATTTCGTGACAATTAATTCGCGTTCATTTCAATATTAATTTAATTATTTACTATATATTATTATTTATATTATCAATCTATGTAATCATTACATAAAGGACATTTCGCTAGGTTAATAAAGAATAACTTGTGTCTAAGGACACTCCTGACCGATTGGGATTAAAAATCGATAAAAGTGTGAAGCACGGTAGCCACTGTTCTGACAAAATCTATTTGGAATGGTTTATAATGTGCCATTAAACCTAGCTCCATGTTGTGTATTTTATTTAGACTTTGTAGTTATTGAATACCCAAAGTCTATATTGATATTAAGTAATTCCTTCCTCTATCATCCATCACAAATATCAAAATGAAACATCCTGCGAGACATATTCATTTTTTTTTCCTAGCAAAGTGATCGGCACACGTGATTTTAATTTGATTGTAATTTAGCTTTTCTGCAATTAATGTATTATTTCATTATAACAAATATGAAAAGAAATACTAATAATAAATCCGATCAAAGCAAAACATCTGCTCATTTATATGGAGTGCTTTTATATAAGAAGAAGGATATAATAGCAATTCAAGAAAAACTTGGTATTAATATTAATACATTAAAGCAAATAGAACACGGACCCGATGGGAAAACACTTGCTGATTCATATGAATTGTTGTTAGAATTGGTGGGAGATTTAATATCGATACAGGAGAATCTCAACATTGATGGTAACCCCATTCTGGCAGTGGGATATAATATTGTGGTAAATCAAAACATTAGAGGTTCTTCCGATTTATCACTTTCGAAATTATTTAATTTGCTTTTATACTTGAAAGAGGATATAAACTCAATTCAGGAAAAACTTGATATTGTCGGTTATACTAATCAAGAAATAGCAGAAGAAGCCGATAAAAATGCGAGAGTGTACCTCCAGAAGTTTGAGAAATTCCACGGCCCCTTAGAAGATGTTCCAAGTGTGATATTACAAAAATTTTGCAAAATGGGGGTAAAGAAAATTTGGTTTACTGGAGAGGGACTACCATTATTTCCAAATGTCTCTCTTCATCAATTACATGAGGTTTTCGTCAAAAAATCGGCTAACATCGGTCAGTGTCCATGTCTAAAATCAAAAGTAAAGAAGGGAAAATTATCACAGATATATATAGCATCCCACCGTGATGTGATTGGTCGATAATTTATATTATATATTGTATATCTTTAGCCAAAAAAATAACTAATGCTTAAATATTTAATTATCTTTCTAAAGATCTTGCCACGAACAAATATAATCCTTGATCAATGGCTCGAGCAAGACTATTTAATATATTATAGCTATCCCATATTGTCCACCGGTAAAGATTGGAATAAGTGGAGGTAAATCAGAATCAGAGAATTCATCATCTGAATAATCTGGATGTTCGATTTTAATTTTTGAATTAAGTTTTTTCATCACTTCATTACTAATCCTTCTACATCCCTTCAAACTAAGATATTTCAAATTAGTACAGTTGTCAGCTATCTCCTCGATAGCTTCATTACCAATCGAGCAATCACCAAGCTCAAGATGTCTAAGTTTTGGGCATGAGTGGGTAATTTCAGTAATACATCGATTAGTGAGACATTTACATGAATTAAGACTTAAGTGTATTAATTTCGGACAAAATTTTGCAATTTCTATAATTGATATATTACTAAAACCATAACTTCGATCAAGAATGAGAATACGTATATCTGGACATGAGCGTAGAATCGCACTAATCAACGCATCTTTGATTTTTAAACCTTCCAATCTGAGATATACCATCTTTGAACAATAGAGTGGCTTTATCTTTCCACACATAACTCTTTTAAACTTCAATAATCGCCAATAAAGATCTCCAGATGAATTGTTATTATATGTGTTTCCTTGACAATCTATGAAAAAATCAATTGAATTAAGACTTAGGTGTATTAATTTCGGAGAAAATCTCACAATTTCTATAATTGGTATATTAGTGAAACCCTTACTTTTATCAAGAATGAGAAAGCATATATTTGGGCATGAATGTAAAATTGCACTGATCAATGTATCTGAGATTTTTAAACCTTCTAACCTGAGATATACCATCTTTGAACAATAGAGTGGCTTTATTTTTCTACACATAACCCTTTCAAAGTTTATCAATCGCCGAGTAAGAACCCGAGACATATTTAAGGCACGCCGACTCTGCTTATAATCCTTGTTAAAAAACTGAATGCGTCGCCATAGAATAGGAGCACCGCAGTGATACCAAAAGTGGTTGACGAATAAAGTAGGATAGAGTGCTTTATTCTCGGCTAAGAAACTGAATATGTTTTCAAGTAACTCTGGTAAATTAAAAATATTTAGACCCTTTTGGTCATTGCTTCGCAATAGTTGCGCCATTCTCAAGAATATATATTCTATATCTTTAATCGGAAAAAACAGCTAATGTTTGGATAATTAATTTGGGGCATACTGCAACAAAACCAAACAAAGTGAACATTGGTGTTACCAAGGATTTCAGGGATCATAATATTTGTTTAACATCACAATTGTATGATATTTGTTTTTATCCCTAAATAAAAATAGTTAATATGAAATTAATTTATATCAGATCTACTATGGAACCCAAGAATTACAGTACCATTAGAAGTATTTTGAAAAAGGAACAGGGTGAAAAAATTGCTCCTTACATTTTCAAAATAAATGATACTCAGACACTGGAAGCTTATCTAAGAAAAGAAAGGATTACCTATGAAATTTACCATGAAGAAAGAAAAATAATAAACATTAAGAAAAGAAAGCAGAATGAAAGTATTCTATTGCCCAACAAAAAGCAGAAATATTTGGAAGAAAAATAATCTTATTAATTATCGTTCCTTTACGTTGGTCAATTAATTAATCACTATAGATTCAATTAGTTCCTAACGAATTAATCTTTTACTAATCCTAGATTAGTCTTGGGTATTTAGTTCTCGCTGCCCCCGTCAGGCTGGATTTATTATTAAATTAATTAATTATTCACCACGGGAATTATCCGAATAGTCAAACGACGTAATTAATTACTTTATTACTTAAATACAACAATTATGCGAATATTTTGTTATAACTTGTGTTTTTATTATTTTATTTTTAATGATAATTACAAAATTCTATATAGCTTTGTTATTCCGTTCCCCCTTCTTCTTTTTGTTCACTATCAGTTTTTATAATACATTGAGAATTTTTTGAATTAATGGAATTAACCAAAAATTTATTTAAATTAATAATATTATTATGTTCTACAAGTTAAATTAATCTATTGTCCATTAATGTATGGTAAATAAGAATCCGAACCTTAGTCAATTGATGAATACTTGTACAGTATTTACGACCAACTTTGGTTTATAATTAAATACTACTAATAACTAAAGAACAAAATAAATAAATAAATAAAAATATAAGGATAAAAAAAAATGTTTGACATATGTCATGGGGAAGGCCGCGTAAAATTATGATTAATTAATTGATCTTATCCAGTGTTGGAAATTCATCGATCTTATGATCTGCAAAAAAAAATTTGTGCACATATGAACACAAGAAATTTTTATTTAAATAAAATTCGTAAAA